CATTCAGTTCAGCCACTCTTCTCAAATAACCCTTGAAATAGAATTACTAAACCCTCACCATCTTTATTGGGTCCCAACTCCCAAATGCGAATTCACCCTTGGATCTTAGTAAATGATATATTTACAAATACTTCAATGTCACTATGTCATCTACAATTCAAGTTTCACAAATATTTCATTGTAAATATTTGTCACCTATTGTGTCTTCATTAAAAAGTTATATGTTAAATATAGTTTCAAGTTAAACAAAAAAATGGTTTAGAGAGAGAGAGAGTAGAAAAGGAATAGAAAGAACTTAACAAGAACAATGGTACATGCATCGACACGCAGGATCAACAGTGGAGCCACGTCATCAGCTTTTAGAAGCAACACATCAGCATTTATCTACTGTTTATTAGGAATTTTATTTTTGCAAATTACTATGTTTGCCTGTTTGGGCGCCTCAACGGAGTTTGGATCTCCTGCCCACTAAGGGGTGTTCACGGGTCGGGTTGGGTTGGTTTCATGGGATTTTCCCAACCGACCCGACCTAGTCGGGTTACCAGAGGTGGGAATCGAAATTGACCCATTGATAGGCCAAATCGACCTAGTCGGTTTGAGTCGGGTTGGATTGGTTTCGGTTGGTTTCGGTTTTGCTCTTGTACAAAGCCGAATAAACTTTGAATTAATTGAGGACTTGAGTTGAGGACTTGAGTTGAGGGGGGCGGACCAACCAAGTTAAGTTAGAGAATAGAAGATTTTAAGAGAAGACAAAAGTGGAATTAGAAGACTAGTAGGAAACTAGGAATTCTAATTTTAAATTGCCTAATGGGCCTTCTAGTTCTAGTAGGAATTCTAATTGTAATTGCCTAATCTAGGTAAAAAACTAAAAAAGGACATCTAATTAATTGAATTCTAATTGTAATTGCCTAATGGGCCTTCTATTTCTAGTAGAAGTCTAAAAGACTAGTAGGAATTAGGAAACTACTCAAACTAGGAAGTAGGAACTATCAAACTAGTAGAAGAAAGACTAATTCGGGTCGGGTCGGGTCGGTTTTTGTATGTACCCAACCCGAAACCGACCAGTACGGATGAAAACCCGGCTGACTCGAGTTGAGTCGGTCCGGATTGGTCGGTTTGGTCGAGCTAGCCATTCTTATGAACTACCCTACTGCCCACATTTCTCGCAATCACATATGAAGAAGAATATCTCATCCGCATAATATTATGTAGGGGGAGATGTTCCCAATTAATGGGGATAATATATTTTGGGTAGAGATGGGCAAAATTCTCATGAGCAGCAGATCCAGAGTTGCCTCAACGTCCCATTAGGCAGGCATTAACACAAGCCTTTCCACCGGAAACCATTAATTATATTTAAAGCTTTTTCCTTATATTCATAGGCTACATAACACAACTCGCAAAATGTCTCTTAAAAAGTAACCAATAAGTTACATGATGCATCATCAAAGTATTTTCCATGTCTCTTGGTGAGCTAACACATCACAACACAGAGAAAAAGATGAAGAGGAAAGCAAAACTATGATATAGCTAGGAATGTCAGCAGGCCAGAATTTTGGCTTAGACTACTGAACATAATGGATCCTATCCCATTTAACCCAAACCGGACCCTAATCTGTAAGTTCTGAAAGCCATATTTGTCACATTAAATATTGATGATTGATAATAAATATTAAAAAACCTATATGTCAGACAAAACTCTTTTTCTAGCTACAGCTACATGATGTGGCCAACCCCACCAAGTCATCATCAAACTCTCTCAACTGTCCATTGTAAAACGAAAGATCAGATATCTTGGAATTAATGTTTTCATAATCACCACCAGAACCTTAACGCTTCCAAGCATTTCTTATTTGGTGGTTGAATCATTCATCTGTAGAATGTCTGATGGTGTCTCCTGATCATCAAGACCCTAAGATGATTTCAACAACTATTGCTGAATCTACAGTTTAATTAACCAGACAGAAAGTGAGAATACGTACAATTTCTTATATGATCACAGGTATAAGAAAATTAAATCAAATCTTGAGCCCGTTATATGAGTCTCAAAGGTCAGATCATTCACCGGATCGGTACGTTTTTGTCTTTGATATGAGATAAATACTTGAGGAATACCCTAACCTAAGCTTCTTCCATATACAAATATCTTGACATTCCCCATGTCAGACTCCTGAAATGACTTCGAATTGAATGTTTTCTTTGCACCAAAATCTTTATTTCTTTCTTACATGGAGGCAAAATTAGAAAAGGATCTGACATGGGTTGAGATCAACATACAAGAACCTAACTGACTGATCACGATGATAAAATGTCCAGTCCGGCCGACCCAACTGATGAGAGTTTTCGGACTTGGCCGGGGCAGTTATAATTTTCTTTTCTCAGTAAGGTTGGTTGTTTAAGAGGAGGACAAATATTTTGGGACAACTTCAAATTCAAATATATATTATAATTATTAGCTCATTACGAGTGGTTGGAGTTAGAGACAATGATGTTACTGATCATCCATCGTCTAGTCATTTATTAGTGTCTCAGATCTAAGGGTGTTACTATAAGATTAATATATAATGGCCTGGGTCCTCCATTACTTGTCATGTTGTACTTTGTGCCCATTTGGGCTAGCTAGGGTTTTGATGCGCGCAGTGCCTTCATTCTTTCATTTCATGAGCTGAAGAATAGAATCCAGAGAAAAAAATTCTGTAAATAAGCTACATCAGGTAGCTCTTCTCAAAAGTAGCTCAATCAAAGCAAAGCAGGTTTACACAGCGGCTTCTAGCATTGCAAGATGGCCCCATATCGAAAGCCAAGAAACTGTGCTTGGTAAAATATTAAAATCTGGAAAGTAATTGAGCCCAACAACTGACTTTCCAGTTAAGTTATTTTTGGTAACTTTTTAGAAGCAGCTCAACCATCAACACTGAAGCACTCCCAAATGGGCCCTTAGTCTTGAAATGATGATGAGACCCACCATCAATGCATCCCAACTAAGAGATTGCCTATCTTCTAACTCCACTTGTTTGGTTGATTTTGAATTTGAATTCCTTCCCTTATCCTACTTTGAGGGTAATTTTCATTTTGGTTTATTCAACCAAACCAACAATTGAGTACCTGATGTGGGTTTCATCAGCAATTCAGGATCTCTATATATATAGAATAGTGAGGCATAATGCATCCCCATATCTTAAGAGATCCATCGTGTCATTTATTTATTTTTTTAAGTATCCTATAGCAGAGAAATCAGATTGTTCCCAATTTCAAAGAATATTGCCCTTATGAGATCGATGATCATGCTGTCTGATAATATATAAATTAATGTATTAATATAAAGGAAACCCATATTGGATATATACATCTCCCCTTAGCTATATATCATTGACACAATCAACTTTTTGTAGATATGCTCCCTTGTAATTTAATTTTTGTTAATTTTAATCTATCTTTTCACTTATAAATTAATCACACGTTTCCTTCTTTGAACTTTTCAAGATGGTGGAGCCCTTCATTAATGTGAAGTGTCAATCAATGCATATCATCTCAAATCACATTACCTTTTCTTTTCATCCGGTACGAAAATCTTAAGAAGGCTAACCCAACTTTAATCCCCCATTCCTCAAAAGCCAACAAAAAGAACGAAAAGAAAGAACATATATAGAAGAGAGAGAAAACGCAGCAAATATGCCATTTTTAATTGTGGATGACAATATCGCTTATCTTTTGACAAAGACAAGTAAATAGTTTTGTACCTTATCATCGATAATTTGGGTTGGACAGGTAATAATAACTGGTAAAATTAATGGATTCTTTTAAAACGGCAAAAGGGTATTTCAGTCATTAAAAATGGTGGAAGGGTATTTGGGGTATATGGGTATTTTCTAATAAATTCCATCAAATTTTGAATTTGCCCCAGCTCTCTTTTTAATGATTATAATGAGATTAAAAAAAACAAAAAATCTCTCTCATTTTTTCTAAACATACCAACTTTTACCCATGGTAAGAACCATAGTTTGCTGAGGGGCCATAATCAGTCTTCTCTCCTTGTTCTGTTGGAGAAGGAGAAAATGGCTTCATTTTTGGAGAGACAAACACAGCCTTAGAAGGCCAGTACACACATGGTCACAATTCAAATGGGCCGGATTGCTGAACTTAAAACTAGCTGAAACTTTTTTGATATGTAAAGCTAGCTGAAACATGAGGAATGCAGTGCATTATATTATGGGTAGATGTGGCTGCAGTGTGTTGCATGTTGTCGTTGACGAGGTCGTAGCTAGGTGAGTTGTGCAGCTGCAGTATATTGTGGGTAGAGTGTGTATAGAGTCCAGTGAGCAGGAAATCCGGACTGGTTTTGTTGGCAAATTAAACAAAGTGGGGTATAGAGCTGATGTGCATGGCCTCTGATGAAGAATTGATCGAAAAATCTAGAAGATGCCTTACCCAATGGACGGTGTGGATTGAGCACAGCCCGTTTAGGTGACAGAAATAGAAAAACTCATCAAACTCTCTATTTGACTCCATTAGAAAAACAACTCAAACCGGGTAAGTGAGACATTGAGACACTGATCATAATTCGCAGGCAACAACTGACAGACGGCTGTGTGCAGGATAGTGAAGCAGCTCTGCAGCTGGTAAATGATTTGAATAACCCAAGGAAAAAGAAAACCCAAAACCAATGAGAAAGGAAACATGTTTTCATCCACTGTTAAAACCATACTCAGCCATTAATATTCTGGCATGCGACAAATGTAACCATTCAAGGCCATTCCATGAACCATGTGCTTGCGACTGTGTGCATGCATGAAGGCTTTGGGTTAGATACTGGAGATGATGAGAGATGTAGTTGAGACTGTGAGACTGTGTTGTCACTTCACCCAGCCTTCAGCCTTGTCGCTACTCAGTTGATTAGACATTTTGGCCCAGTGAATAAGTTCTCTGTGCTGTTTACTAGGAGCCTGCCTCCCCCATTAAAGTATAGATGCATCCACTGTATAGTAGAGCTAGATAGATATCCCTGTTCTTACGACATGATCGAGAGAGCGAGACTATATATCCACCCTGATTACCTTGCTTTCTTCTTTCTTCGTTGTAAATCTGATCACATCTCTGTAATTCTTTTCTTCTGGGAAACATTACAGTTTGGAAATATGTGTGGTACAGTGATGACAACCAAGAAGCCAAACCTGATAGCTAGCCGAGAATGTAAATATCATATATACCATCAAGACAATTACTGCATTTGCAGTAGAGCTTACGACTATGCATATCAAGCTAGCACTAGCAGCTGCAGCAGTCCATCATTGTTTGGTTTCATATTTTCTCTTGCGGTACGTGTCAAATATACGAGTCCCCATCCATATTTGTCTCCTTGCATGGATCAAGAACACTTTTGAATGTTGTTTTCTGTTTTTCTGGGAGTAAAAAAATAATAATAGAAAGCTAGGAACAGAGACATATTTTGCTGAGTATTGTCCAAAATAATTCAACAAAGAGAGATAAGAGTGTGGACGGACGGTTAGGGTGATGTGGGGTTCGGGCCGGGGTTCCATTCCATTGAGAGTTGAGAGTTGAGAGACTCCTCACCAGTCATCACCTCACCAGCCCCTCCCCGTCGGCCCAACCTCTGCAGGTTAAAAGATGTTTCATAACAAAGCCAGTCTCCATCCACAATGTGGTGGGTTGGTTCAGGTTAGGTCACTAATCTAAGCGTGACTTAGTGGGCCCGCTGTGGCTCGTTCTAGCGCAAGCAAGCTTAAGGGGAGCCTTCCGACCGACCCTCGAGATGTATTAATCTTGTCCCATGGCTTCATCCAAAGCCATCTCCTGATTCTCTTCATCAGCTCACAGTCACATGCATACTCCTCCTATACCCTAGCTGATCACTCTCTAGATCGATCTTCTCTTCTAATTTCTCTTTGAATTGAATGTCGCCTACAAATGGTGCAGGATAGAAGCAACGGGGATCAGCAGAACATGGGTCAGTGCTACTCTGCTCCATCTATGCAAGAGCACCACTGGGAGAAGCATTCGAGCTTGAAGAAGAGATGTCTGGCCAGGGTAAAGGAGCAGAGGTCAAGGTTCTACATACTGAGGAGATGCGTGGTGATGTTACTGTGTTGGCACAAGTACGGGAAGCATTAATGAAAGGTAGCGACCGGTTCTTCATGATCCCATGTTGAGGACAACCTCCAATTGCTTCAACATCAGACCCCAGATGACCACCCTCATCAGCACTAGCTACATGACTCCATCTGCAAAGGAATCAAAGCAAGTCAGCAACAATGAAATGAAGATATATATATATATATATATATATATATACGAGGAGGAGTCTGCATATCGTCAACGTCAAGTCACCCAAGTGTCACGAAAAGTGATGGAATAAGTAGTTAATTGTTCATAGCTTTTATTTTGGTTTGCTCGATCGGTCTGTGTGGCAGGGTTTTTACGTGAGAACAGTGCTAGCTAGCTGAGGGTTGGTACTGTTGATGATGGCTAGGAGATCCAGATGGGGAGAGAGAGGAGACCTTGCTCTGCTCTAGCTCTAGCTCGTCTGGAGAGAAGGGTTTAGGTTTTATTTCTTTTTTTTTATTATTATATTATTGTATTTTTGTAAAGCTTTGGACTGCTGGGGACTGGGGAGAATAAGAAAAAAAAGCTATAGTTTTAATTTCTTTGTCTATGGAAGCAAGAAGAAAAGGGTTAGGGTCTGACCGTCTGAGTGAGGAATTGAGTCATACCGCGCGTTCAATTATTTTGATGGAGATGGCTAACCAGCTAAATGGGTCTTTTTCCTTGTTTTCGAAGGACTGATCATGACTTGAATGTGGTTGCACGGGTGATACTCCACTTGGATTCATGGTGTGATTTATTTTCTGTTCCAATTATGAGTTGACAAGACCAACTCATCGACATCCATATCTTACTATTACTTTCCTTCAAAGAAAACTCTCCTTTGGTCTTTGTTTTCACATGGATCTCTCTTTCTCTCTCTCTCTCGATCTCTCTAAGCTCAAATTTAACATGAAACTTCTATGTGGTTGCATCTGTCCAACCTTATAACTGTTACAGTTGTTCGATCATGCGTGTCTGCAATTTCAGTAACTCATACCCAAAGAGAAAAAAAGAATAGCAGATGCATTACTTTCAAGTTACTAGAATCACAAAATTCGGATGCTGTTCTAACCTCTGATTAGACCCAAAATTTAATCAAATGTGGCCTGTTTGGAGAATTGACTATAATGTGAGCTGAGTTCTTAGTTACATATCAAATAACTGGTAATTACCCATTTAAAGCCATACAGGCGAAGAAATCTGATGATTTTTTTTTTTCAAAATGAACAGATCTGATGATTGAGTGTTATACATTATAGCCATTCGAAGAAGATTTCGTTTTAATTTCTACCATTCTCAGAGGTAATACAGTTGGAAGCTAATGTCCAATCCATCACTTCTTGTTTTAGAAGGAATTGAATAGCATTCTTGACCTAACTCATCAACCAGGGCTGCATGTCAATGGTTCATCTCTGGGCTAGGTCAAGGTAGATCCAGACTTGACCTGATAATAGGAAAGCATGCAAACCCATGTTAGGGTCTATGGTATTAGACCCAGTTATATATGTTTATGTATATATACTTGACAAGCCTTTAGCTTGGTATTTTGACAACCTATTAATTATCTTTGCTCTCTCTTCTCAAACCATCTTATACATGAGCCCAGATTTCCAACTCACTTTTCCTACCCACTCTGTCCGCCCTGAATTGCAGCCACTCATAGGGGTGGCAATTTTCTCTGTTCCCGGTATTCGGGCTTCCCGACCCAACAGGATCGTGTATGGGGTACTTCGGCGGGGTTGGGGTCGGGGATGGGGCTATCCTTGAATCCCCGATCGGGGGCGGGGATGGGGATGGGGAATGCAATCCCTGCCCTAACCCTGCCCCGATAAATATATATAATATAATATATAATACTATAATATTTATATTATATTATATTATTATTCATTTTTTATTAAAACTTAAAAAACACTCGACAGTGTCGAGTCTTCGAGACTTTGACAGTCAGAGAAGAGAGAATTCTGAACCCAAAACCCTAGTCTTCTTCTTCCTTCGTCTTCGTCGTTGTCGCCACTCGCCCGTCGGTCATCAGACATCATCAGATGTCTATCGTCGCCGACTACTAGTCTATCACTTGAGAGTCTCGACAGAGGACAAAGATACTCAAAGAAGAAAGAACTAAAACTCAGTTCTTCAATCTTCCTTCGACCTTTGTCTATCGTCATCGTCACCAAATAGGTGTGAGGTTTCTCTTATTATTTTCATATTTCTTATAAATGATTTGACTACTTTGTTAATGGTTAAATCTTTGTATTTCTATTTCCTTTTCTGTTTATGTTTTCAACATTTTTACTTTGTTAATAGCTAAATCCTCGGGGATTCGGGTCTTCGATGAGGAATTCATTTCTGTCGGAGTCGGGGATGGAGGGGGATTCCTTTCCCTGACGGGATCGGAGACGAGGATGGGGAATGTAATCCCCGCCCCATTGCCATTCCTAGCCACACATGTCTCAATTCATAATAGAGATGTGTGGCTCCAATTGACGGTGGGTACTTATACATTCCAATAATATGGTAAATTTAGTCTTTGGACATTTCATTTGAAGCTATCACAAGAAACCATTAGAAATATGTAAAAAAAAAAAAAACATTGAGGATATCTATATCTAATCAAATTGGAATAGGTTAAACCAATCCCAACCCTATTATAATCAGGATTCAAGATGCAAACTGATACCCTTTCTATAGAATGTGGTCAAAATGGATTGTTTGGGTTGATGGGGTAATTGTAGTTCTATCATTAACTAGGGGTTTAATTGGCCAGGTTAGCTCAGACTGATGTCGATCCTAACCCTAACTGAACTCAATCCAGCCTTCAATTTGAAGGTACCTAGCAATTTTGGCAAATACATCTATACAAAAATCAATACATATATCTTATATAATATACATTCATTATAAATATATATTGACAAGTATAATAAAGCAGACCCGGGTTAATATTGGATGGACATCTAGCCCAAGACATCAACCAGCCGGACTTTTAACCAGGTCTTCAACTCAACCCAACCCAAAAAATGGGGTTCGAGTTGGGAGTACTCTCGAGTTGGCCCAACCCAAGTTACACCACTGTTGTAAACCTACACGAGCCCCATAATTCTTCATGGATTTAGATAGGCTAACCCTAAGCCAATTTAGCTTGGGATTCATTCCCGGTAGTCACATTACTTTTTGACACTATTGTCCTTCTACCTTTTATAACAGGAACCAGTGGTCCACTTGAGAATGGAGTGTTGAACCTGATCTGTGAATCTGAAACTCGAAAAGATTTTACCAGATACTCTCCGACCCATTTTACCCACCGCCCCAGTCTCGTTCTCTCTTTTCTTTTCACTGGCATTCCCTTATTTTTTCTGGAAAGGAGGATCAACAGTGAGCTTAGTACCATACTTATGTAGATTCTGACACTAAATAAATGCAGAAATAACGTTATCTGAATGAGGGAGCCCACTGTTGGACCCATGACTTGACATATTTGGGCCCCTTTTTCTAACTTTAATTCATGGTCTGAGTGGTTCCCCTCCCCTTCTTTCTTGTTCTTCCATCAATTATGCCCTCCACTATTTACTTCTCACCATGTTTCCTGATTTCGTGTAAGTTGAATTATGAGACGGCCGGAGGAGACTCCATTATTTCTTTCAAACCATGTTAATCTCGTGTTGGGACATGTAAAATCCCCAAAGTCCCAGTTATTCAAATTTATAGCTTCTGATGGAAAACACTGGTTCATGAGATATGCTCGGGTGCCCCAACCAAGAGAAAATTAAGGTTTATGATCCAAATGAAGGGAGCTGAAGAGAAAGTCTAAAACCCTGAATCCTTCAAGATGGAGAGGATGTTCTCTTAGACCATAGCAAGATACGAGAACTGCTAAATCATGCTCAACTGAAAGTTAGAAGATGATATGCTCAAGAGAAAAGGTTAATTTATGCCCTTGTTTTACTGCTGGTAACCAAGTATGATTCAGTGATTGATTTAGGTGGTTTTGAGTCCATGGTTTTAGAAAAGGATGATATGGTTAAGAAAATATGTTGACTACTTTTTCAGTTTTTGAACCAGACAATACAAGGGAGGCTGTTTTGTTCATGGTTCATTTTTTAGACTAAATAGGTGAGTGTTGATTGTATGGGTCACATGTAAATGTACTCTTACCACTTACTTTTGGTGGTATGATTACTATTCAGCAAAGAAACATGACAGAGCTTTATTGGTGTATGAGACACACCGCGTCAAACCAAAGGGTGTATACCCATGTTATATCAATTAAAAAGGGTGCAGCTGATTTTAAAATTGAAGGTTCATTTGGCTTGTAGGTGGAATCGGAATTGGAATAGTCCATTCTCATAATTTGTTTGATTCAGACGAAAAGGGAATGAGAATTAAAATCAATAGAAATGAGATTTCATTTCTAAGGGAAGGACAGAGAATGGAATTCTGATTTCACCCAATCAAACAGTTAGGAATCAGAATAGCCTATTCCAATTCTGATTCCAGCCTCCTATTTCTGCAAATCAAACAAACCCCGAGTCCTGATTAATTAGCTGCATTTTGATGGTTGTGTCAGGAGTTGTTTAACCATAATAATGCCCCATGTTAAACATACATAAAGTATGTCTCACAACCACTTTAATTCTTTATTAGGGGAGACCTGTTCGATGCACAGATTACTCGTTTCAAAACCACCATGAACATGATTTCTCGTCCAAAAACGAAAGGGAAAACAGAGGAAACTTAAACCAGAATTAAATTACTGTCCACAATTAATTATATTTATTATTTAATCTGATTCAGATTTTTATGAAAGCAATTTCTGGTTCAGGTTTTGGCCTACGTCAGGGCAAGTCCGTGCCCACACCGTTCCAACCGCCATTTGCGGAAACCTTTTTTCTTGTTTTTCTCGGTTAAAGCGAACCTGGTAGCTTGCAACAAATTTTTACTTTTAAAATCATTACCGAAATAAAAATTCCTACTTTTAAGAAAATGCTAGCTTGTCAAGTCGGCAAAGTCTATATATCTTCATAGATTTACCACAATACCACTTACCACAGGTTGAATTTTCAGATCTGTCTTCACCCACCTCCACACTAACCTACCTAATCACAACAACAACCTTTCCATCTATTATTGCCATTACCATGCCATCAATGTTATGTACTTATTTTACCTTTTCAGAAATTCTAAGGTGATTTTAACTTTATTGTATAAAGTAGAAAATAAACTATTCTTATTAATTCCTATATTTATCCCAATAAGTCCTCTTTCTTAGAAAATCCGATTTAGTCTTCACAGAACCGTATTTATACTATTCGCATAGTCCCTGGCAGCTTTATATTAAAAATATCTCTCTATAAAAAAGCATGTAAATATGGAGATATTTTCAATACATGGGTTAGTTGTGATGGAGGCATAGGATCAAATCCTGTTGCCACCTAAGCTATCCTGTTGTGTAGATCTATGGAGCAATAATAATAATAAAATCTTTTCATGCATTCATTTGAAAAAAATTGTGTGGTTTACATGATAAATAAACTTTCCCTTAGATAAGTTTTTTTTTTTTGTCACTTATCTAAGAAAGGCATACCCTTCCACTAAATAGGTAACTTACTTTCCCACTAAGAGAGGTAAAGGTCAAAACTAATCAGACTAAAATGCCCTTACAAAAAGGTCACGGGTAAATGATTGAGGCAAGGATAGAAATGGCAACAAAGAAAAAATTCATGATAAAAGAACACAGGTATGTGCATAAAAGAAAACTTACCCGAATTAATAACTTAACAAGAAACAAATAAGGCCTGAGAAGTAACAAGACTTGAACTTGCATCAATAAGGTGTAAAACGCAACAAGTTAACCACTAAACCATTCTTGGTTATAAAAAATATATATGTTTTAATTTTTAACATTTAGTCATTTCTTCTTCTTAGTGCACATTCATTATAAAAGTAAAAAGCAAATAATTAATTGTTAAAATTATACATTTGTAAAAATTAATAAGAACAATATTGATCTCCAAAGGATTAAGATGTACATGCATGCCTTTAGTTCTATAAATGAGGTATATATACACATGAGATACACACACATTGATAGCATATGTGAAGACTTGGATTTAGTGTTGTTGATGTATTCTTTTTTTTGGGGGGGGTGATTTATTGGAACTTTTCTATCATATTTTATTTTTTCCACTATATTCATGTATATTGAAAATATATCTTTATATGTCTTTTAAAATTGTCATTTCGATACTCTTTGCGTTTCTGATACTTTGAATTTCGATTGTCTTACAAAGTGCCACCTGGCCGATTAATAAGGTCTGTGATTGTAGCAAAGACTTGGGATCTAATCCGCCTGTACTGGGATTTGGGAGGGGAGTCATGAGTTTGGGGGATGGACTACCCCCGTTGTATAGCCCTATGGAAGCCAAAAAAAAAAGAAAAGCTTTGGTTGTCAAAATATGATGGTGGAAAAGGATTATTTTCCAGAGTAGTAATTATTGTAGGAAAATGATTTTCTATAAATTATTTTACAAACAGAGGTTGATCTTTTGGATTCATATCCCACAATACTCATGGTCTCATACTGATTCTCATCCATTTAGGTCTGTTTTCCATATGCTAAATGGAACACCAGAAAAATTAGGATGCATCTATTTCTCCATGAAGGGGAGAAAACTCTTTTTCAACTGAAATACTTTGGGTTTGAAATCATTTCCGCTTCAATAAGATGAAGGAGAGGTAAAGGATTTATTTTTATCAAAATCCCCTGACGTGTTTAGAGCATTTCTGGAATCAAACTCTTTAACTCCATACAACTTATTATTATTATTATTATATTCCTGGTATATTAAGCAATGTTTTGAAATCTTGACCAGACAGTTGGACCAAGTTGAACTGGGATTGGACCCTCTACGGATTCAACTATCTAACATAAGAAAGTTGGTTAGATTATTAATCTTGCACCAAGATGGAAGTTTGGACGATCTGTTTACCACTTCAATTTCTTTCATCCTTCCTCTCTGACCCCTTATATCTCCTCATTTATTGCTTTCAGTTTTCTTTCAGAAAGTAAATATAAAATATGTACAGAAAAATCTTGTTGAGTTTCAGGGGCCATTTGATAACTCTACCAAAATCCACTGTCAGAAAGCTCAGAATTGGGCTGTAGATAGAGAACTATTCTAAAATCAAATTGATCATCAAATCTTCATGTAGAATCCAAAACAGATGCACCAGATTCTTACTATAATGTGATTCCTTCTACATTCTACAACATAGAATCCGATTCCAGAATGGCAATGCTCCCCCAACGCCCCTCTAAATTCTGCAACTGGGGTCTGGGCTGCCTGCTGAGACTCTGAGTCACCAATTAACCAATCATCGGGCCATAGCCCAGGCCCAGTAAAAATTTTGCATTTATGAACTTTCAGTTCCTGTTTAAATTGGGCTGCTAACTTGGTGCAGTAATAACCTGCAAGTTGACACTCATATATGCCAATTGAACGGTCTGTTTTTCAGTTTTGTTTACTGGAATCCATGACAATGGACGAGCTGAGAAAATGACTTTGCATAAGACAGCAGAGTGTCAGTCGTACCTGCGTCTTGATTTGAATTGGGCCTGCTTAGTGCCAATACCCAAGCCCAGTTCTAAGGATATATTTTGATTGGGTAAGTAAACTCTAACAGAGAGAGAGAGAGAGAAAGAACTTGCAGTGACTGTTACAAGGTGAATCCAGAAAACATTGGTCTTACAGAAAATTAAATGAGGAAAGAAGAGTACCTACATCCCCACCCCCACCTCATAAATGCACATTAAAAGCTCTGGCTTTAAGTGCAGAGCTGAGGTTTTCATTGTTTATGACTTTTAATTAAATATTCCAACCTCCTTTGTTGTTGGGTCGTTGGGATATTCAATGCAGCTTCTTCAAAACCACCTTACCCGCTTCCATTTCTTCCTCGTTAAGAGAATTCTCAACCGACATCTCTCTCCCACACCTCCCCTTCATCCCCAGAATTTCGTCATTTCTGCTTCTATCTTGGAAGGTATGTCTGCTGTGCCTTTTTGTTATTGTTTTCTCCTTCCTTTTGCTGCACTTTTGGGCACAGAATTGACGACCCCCCCTTTTCTTCTTCGTTCTCGTTTATATCTCAGATTCTGCTCTATGTTAATATGGCTAATGACCTGTTTGTTCACCTTCACTCAGACCAGACCACACCATCAACAAAGAGGAGCATGTATGCAATACGAAGCATTGGTTGATCAGTTTAACGGGATATTGGTCCGGTTCAATTAGAAAGCAGTGCTCATGTGTTCAAGAGTTCTGCTGTTTGATTGAGCCGTGCCAATATCACGTGGCTCTGCTCTTGTTTATCAAACCAAACATACTGATTTGAGGTAGCTCGTTTCTCATTTTTCCTCTCTCTCTCTCTCTCTATGTTTATCTTTAGTGGATCCTTTCTTAAGCGGTTCATGTTGTAGACTTTTAGCAAATTTGGTACTTCCGAGCTATATAATATACTGAAAGTTGAAGCAGGGTTTTTAGTGGCCCGGTGTTGGGCTGGGCAGGTTACCTGATTGGCCCAGATGGCCGAGAAATCCAGGCTCAATACCCATTTTACCAATATAAATAATATGTACACAGTGAAGTATGGCTTGGTTAATTTACCAAAAAAAAAAAAAACGGTATGGCTTGGTTATTGGGGCCAAGAAATTTTTAATCCAGGGGTTGGGATACCGTTAACAGAATGTTGCTCAGACTGGGTTGATTTATTTATTTATTTTGAAATTCATTCCAAACCCACAAAGTATTGGTATGGACTATGGAGCAGGGTCCTACACCAATCTCAGAACGACCATTTCATTACCTTGAGATTTGAATTGATGAATTCGGATCTGCTCCTCACAGAATGCGTCCCACACCAATCTCACAGCACATTTCAGTTGTACGTCTGGAACATCTCCATAATTGAGAGTTTTTATTCATAAGGAGATCTTCTCAATGCATGGGTGAAACGCGCTGTGAGGTTGATGTGAGGCGCTCTGTGAATAGCAGATCCGAATTCTGAATTGAGGCATGAGAACACTGGCACACAGAGTTTCTCTTTGGGAGCATTTGCATTCCTCAAACCTCTATCCTTGGAAGCTTTTTCTTCCCTTTTTTTGGGTACTGATTAAACCTTTGCTTTGTTTTTTATTTGCTATATACTTTACCGCCACTGGATCTCCTAATGTGCAGCTGGATGATGTTGTGTGTGCAGATTTTTGCTTGCATGAGATGGTGCTATGTTTTACCAAGAAAAAACTATTTAATTGAGCATGATAATGGAGAATATTGCTTTTAGAGAAAAGTTTTCTAAATTATTTTCCTAACAAAATGGAGTAGGTAATTTCCTTTTCCAATCTTCTCATTTCTGAAAAGGTGTTTTCTTTTTCTTTTTTGTTAAATCTTTTAGTGTACCCTCTCCGTTTGAATAAATCTTTTTTGTTAAATCTTCTCATTTCTTAAAAGGTGTTAAATCTTTATGGGTTTATATTTTTTTTTTCTCATCCTATCGTTTTAGGTGTTAAATTTTTTCGCAATGATGGAAAAGATAAAAAACCTTCACAAACTTTGTATAGGTTTTCCCGTCTTTCCCTTCCTTTTTCTACTTTTTCCTTCAAACCAAATATAGCTTAGTTGAAAGTGTCCCTATTAGATTTTAACCATTTAGACTAAATTTGACCAAAAAAGAAAAATAAAAAGATTTAAGCCATTTAGCAGATGCTCGACAACATGGAACATGGTTCGATTTGTTTTAGTTTTAAAAAAAAGCAACCATGCTGTTAAAGACCACCTTAGAATGTTTCTGTTTTCATTTGTTTTTTAAAATTACTATATCAGCAAAAAAAAATAATAATATGTTATTGAACCATACTTTTGTTTTGGAAGAAAAAAAAAGATTTTGTTTAAAAAAATAATACATGTGTTTGAATACAGCAAATAATAGTTTTTAAAACGAAAACAAAATGTATATAGTAGAATAGTTTTTAAATAACAGATGAAAACATGTTCTTTAAACAAAAAAAAAAAAAAATTGAAGAAGAAATTTTTGGTTTCAATTTTGGAAACAAAAAACACACGTAACCAAGAGCATATTTCTGTGGTCTTGTTTTATGAATCAATTTGTTTCCAAACAAGTTGGTTTAGTTTCATTTTCAGAATCCACAACCAGAAAATTCACATCGGGGAACGCCCTACGACTCTACTCTTGCTCTTATTCTACCCACGAAACACTGCAGCCCATGGTTTTCAAAACCGGATCGGACTGGATGGTCGGACCGGAAAAATCAGAAACCACTTAGGTGACCGGTTTTGTTTCTCCCAAAATTGGATTTTCTCAAAAAAAAATGTTGATTTTGACCGGTAAACCGCTAAACCGGGTGATTAACAGTTCGAACCGTTTGATTCAAACGATTTTGATATTTTTTTATATTTTTTTGTCAGAACGGGCAACCAGACCTCTGACCGGGTCGATTTTAAAAACCATGCTGCAGCCCCACATCTCACCAGTGATCACATTAATAAGGAACATATGAATAAGCCATGTTCAGCTGCGAGTCCAACTTCAGTCAAAGCAAAGTCTGTTCGAACAACCTTTACAGTCTTGCATTGGGAATATCTCCCTACTTGTGTATTTTAATTCATGGGTAAATATTCCTAATGCAAGATTAGAAGAGGCCGTTGAAACTGTGTGAGCATGGGCTTGCTACTTCAACTGCAATGCAGTGTATTGTGGGTAGAGTCCTGTGGGCACAAAATCGGGTGTGCCCCCACTGTTGACTTGTTTTTCCTGGTGGTAAGCCATATCATGTTTCTAATCAAACATCCCTTCCACCCTGTTGACTTGTTTTTCCTGGTAAAAATTTTTCCAAATTTGGATTATCAAATCTTTTGTCCTGCTGCATTGCATGTCTTTTTTCTCATGAGAGGACATAAATAAATAAGGCATTATTCATCCTTATTTATTTATTTAGCTAAAGGTTGTGATATGTGATATCCTCTATTTGTTTCATTTGCTACACACACCCAAAAATTAAAAAAAATTATAAAAATAAAATAAAATAGAATCCGTATCCATTAAATAAAAATGGCGTTTAATTTATTTTTTCATCAAGGATTATTTGTGGAATGCCAGTGATGATCGATTAGGAGGACCTTTGGCACTTTCTTTGCAATCCTTTTCCCAAATGCAAACCACCATATATAATAAGAGACCACTGCTCAACATGTATAGTTCCATATGAAGAAATTGCCTGCGAGATTGATTGTTTATCAAAATTGAAGTTGTCATTTTTAGTAGATAAATATACATGTGAAATATATTCGGATCTAACTAGATAATCTCGATTAATACTTGGTTTGATTTTGGATCCATCTTATAAAACCCATACCCATTTACAGCACTGGGACCAAATCAATACCTAACCTGATCCTTCTGGCATCCCTAGTTGCGATATGTGAACTACCCGACCAGCTCATTGGAGACAAGAAGTGGGAACTTTTTGTGAGTGGAGAAAAGAACAAAAGCAAAAAAAAAAAAAAAAGCCATACAAGAAAACAAAAAAGTAGGAACGTGAAGTTGCTTTTATTGTGGTGTGGTGGGTGGTATTGATCCTCTGTCTTGCACGCCAAGGCTTGTTGCTTTCTTTATTGGACAAAGGGCCCGTTTGAGAAGGTTTAAGGGTTGGTTGGTTGAACTGTATTAACTGGGCCACTCCTAACAAGCTACCAAAACTAACTTGACCGGTTTCACACTTCAATATAAGCATTTGTGGGGTTTTCACCAAATGAGCACGGTCTTGTTAGGACTGAATCTGATCTAACCTTGCAAGGCCAAAAGCCACTGGGTGAAAGGCCAAAAGCCCTCCCAAATGAATTTGGATTATCTGCTAATCACAACACATTGCTGGCCACATTCACCCAGCTGCATGTTAGAAACATCTCTTGTATTTTATATACTGATCTTCCTGAATTAATGTGGTCAGCAATGTGTTGCCAGCCGCATATTAGGCTCAGTTTGAAAGGACTACAAATACAAATACATATAGTGCAAATACATACAAAATACAAGGTTTTACACTCTACAAATTTGTATTTGTACTCTTTTCAAACTGAGCCTTAGGAACATCTCTTGTATTTTATACCACTGATATTACTGGATTAATGTGGCCAGTAATGAGTTGTAGTCAGAAGATCCGAACTCCTCCCAAATGGGGCACAAAAGTTGCACCCAGTAGCGTAGGTAAGGTGATTAGAAGAAAGTTAAAGCCACTAATACAAACAAAGACCATTTTGTTTATTGAAGACCCCCCAACCCGGATGAAAGTGGGATTCAATCCCAAGTCCCTGCACAACCAGCCAGAGACCTTACCAGCAAGCAAGCTGGCTTCTGCATTCCTAAGCCCAAGATGGAGGTTTGGGGTCATGGAATAGTGTTTTTAGTTAAAATTTGTTTGATTGATGCATGGCTCATCTCCTCGAGGATAACTCAAAGTTCAGCTATAACTATGAGCTTGTAACTGTCTCACTGAATGTTCTAGTTAATCTGTTTGACTGTATTTCTCATCCACTGTAGCACTTATGCTTCATCCTTGAGATTGCAGGAAAACACACCATTTCTTGCAGTGTAATTGTGGGTATCACATTCTCACTTGTTCTCATATAAGAATTCCTGTGAAATCAATAGAGTATCGTACGACACTAAATGGTTCAAATCAGTGGAAGTTCTGATACTTGTCCAAATTAACAAAGTGAAGTGGAATGTATTGCCATCTCTGATGCATCTTCAGGGTAATACCCCACTAGAACTTTCTAGTTTTCTACATCTCTAATGTGGGTTTTGATCAAATCTTCAGGGTAATAACTTTGTTTTTTTCATAAAGTTTCTAGTTTTCTACATTCATTTTTTCTTTTATTTTTTCGTAAAAGAAATTAAGCATCAAAGTTGTAACCAGCTCTCTATGACTTGTTCTAAAACGAAACCCAAGGAAAAAGGAAAAAAAAAAAAACAGAAACTGCAGAGAAGGAACATAAGGAAGCAGAATTTAATGGTTAATCCTTCTTTCTTCCATATCCTCGGAAGCAACATAAGGAGGTTGATACCTGCTAAAAACCCTATAAGTTGAGATAAGAGATAAGACGAGGAAGAACAGAAGGGCCAATGCATGGAGGACCAAAGCGACCTTCACTCTGCTGCAAAACCTTCCATAAGAACTACATGCTTCGCTCCAGGAGACATCCTTGTCACCATTGTAAGCCAAGTACAGTATCTCAATCACAGCAGCGGCCGATGTAACCATTAAATAAGCTACCACCTGTTCAAGAAACTCCACAGAACCAAGCATAATTTGAAATTTGCATAGACGGGTTCAAGTAAATGGATAAGCAATTCTCCTCTGCATCTACATGTAAATCTGAAATATCCAGTTTAGACATAAAGGAGCATATATTGATTTTTGGCAATTCAACCATTCATTTTAACCTAATATGGAGCTGAAACAAGTTATATATAGAAACTCCATGATCCCAAGTTTTATGTATGGTCCAGAGTTATTGCAATCTGAGAAGAGAAGATAAAGGTACTAATGAAAATTAATGGAGACAAGAAAACGCATTAAAAAGTAAAATAAAAACCTGGTCAGATAGAAAGAAAAACCAAGCTTTAGTGAACAAGCCTCTGAGCCATGAGAAAATAACAGCAACAATACCATAACCAGCGGAGATGGCATTGACGCAAACCATGTACCTGACGTAGAATTCAATTAACTAAGCCAAAACAAAGAATGGAAAAAAGCTTGAGAACAAAGACGAGACAAGGGAAGAGAAAGAAAGCTCACTCGAGTCCTGTGAGGTTGGTGAAGTCTATCTTTCCATAACTGCTGCTGTCCTGCTTGTTTGTCACGGTCACCCATATGGATGCAGCACTGAGCGGAATTACAGATATCCTGAGTGAGAGATCTAGGAACTTGAGTGGGTCGAGATGGTTTTTCGAGGTGGGTGGATTTTCATCAAAATTTCTCATCTTGAGTTTAGAATAACACGCAACTCACTCTAACACAGCAATCTAATTAAGTAAATACAAGAACAACGGAACAAGGTAAACACAGGAGATAAAGAAAAAAAAAAAAAAAAGAAACCCAGAGCCAGAGGGAGAAAGAAAATATCTCCTTTGGTCGGTGGTGGGTTGAAAAGGAAAGCCAGAGGGAGGAGAGAGTCAGTAATGCTTACTAGATGGAGCATTCCTAGTGGGTTGAGTATTCAGTAATTGGCTTGCTTTTCTAAGTATAATAATCAGCCACATTGGATTTATTTGAAGTTGTCTAAGGGAGGTTCGAAGAGGCATTATTGGTACCGCATGCTTGTAAAGCTTATTTCAGAACTCGTTGAAAGAAGCTAGGAGCATTGCTCCATGTTTAAAGGCTCAAAACTGAATATCGACGAAACGGGTATTTAATTTTCTGTAGGTAGAAGAGGATGACACGGCCTTAGGTTTGAGTGGATTGGGTTCCAAACTTCCAATCCGCCCAGTTAACCAACCAACCGGTCTAAATGGGTACCACCCAACCCACACCCATTAATCTAATCCGTGCAACTTGTCATACCCTGATACCCATTTAATGTTTAATAGGATGGCAGTTTCTATGATGCGGGAAGAACTTTGACCAATTAATCCCCCCCCAGCTTCTCACTCTGTGGGAACTAAGGTCAACTGAAGTCATGAATACCAAAAACAGGTTCAGCTGAAGTCATAAAGTGGGGTGCATGACAATTGAATGGAGAGAGGGAGTGGTCACAATTCATATCACATGAAATGAAGAGTGTTTTCATAAATTAGCCTTTTCCTTTGAAAAAAAAAATCAGAGCTCAATTCAGAACCCAACCTAGATAGGAAGCTGCAAAAGGAAGTTATCCATTGAATTGGCAGAATAGCAATGAGGTTTGAAAGAAATTGTCCTAGGGTTGGTTAACTGGCAATTCAATATCCAATCTATTCTAATTCATTCATAAAATTAGGTCCAAATTTGTATTCTAGAATGATGTATATGTGGTTCAGCATTCTGGCTTTCCGTAATTGTTGCTGTTCTGCTTGCTTTGTTACACGGTTACAGACAGTCACCCATATAGATATCGAACCGAGAGGTATTATAAAGAACCCGAGAGGGGGATGTAGGAAACAGTGGTGAGGTTTTGCATCATCATTCTCATTTCCAAAGTAGAACCAAAAAACTCAAACGGCAATTGAAAAGGAGAAAGAAATGCGAACGTTTGTGAACAGAAACAGTGGTGAAGAAAGAAATAGCCCCAGTGTTGTTTGTTGACTTCTAAAGCAATGCTTCAGAGGGACAGGGGCCAGTGCTACAGGGAGTATCCCCTGAAATCTAGTGAACATGAGTTCTTTTGCTTTCTTTTCCAGAGTATATTATTCAATGGGAATGGCATTATTGGCAGCACATGCTCGCAAGCATTCTCATAGTTCTTGGAAAGAAAGTGCCCTTCATTAATGATTACTCCATGTCTGAAGTCTCGCGACTAACTGGGTTTAGTTTGGATGATTCACCCGAGCTATCAACTTAGGAAAACTGATCCGAGACACCCAATCTAGAACCTCAACCGTAGAATGTCCCCCTCCTATCACCTCAATTTTGGAGAAAACTTGACGGATACCAGTTCTCCTGAGTTATCTACGAGGGACTCGGTTAAACAAAATTAGCTGAGATTAACTGGAGGATATAGAGGTACCGCGTCTGTGTCTAATTTATCACACCTATATCTGAAATAAATTATGCTGAAGTTCTGCATAGTCATTGCCATCCTCATGAAGCTCCGAGAAAACCATCACCCACAATTACATTCTTCTTCTGTTTGAATGCGTTTTGGTCAATAGATTTTTTTTTTTTTACTTCTTAACATATTCTAAGAAATAAGGATGCATATCAAGAAAGTCAAGACTACTCCAAGGTCTTATAGCCAGGTGAGGCAAATGATTCATGAGACATCCAATTTGACTTAATGTAGCTTCAGACTGAAGAAAAGAAACCATCGAAAGTGAGCATCTCCGTCATCTTAGTTACAATTATGAAAAGCAGCCAAAGCCCATCAAAGACCAAGACAAGATCCATTAATTTATGAAACAAAAGGCAGCAAAAGCTGATGTAAGGAATGGCACTTATTATGAAGCTCAGTAGCCATGACAGACATAACTTACAAAATGGCCCTCCAAGCTAAAGAATGGGTAGTGACTTTTTATCTTCCTTCCCTTCCTCTTCTATAGGAGCAGATCTCCTCTTCTAAAATGGAGAAGGGCCCCCAACAGCAAGGCCTCACTTTCTCACTATAATTTTACATTTTGATATGCGTACATTTCCTATACCAACTACATACATAAACCAGAAGACTAGTACCATCTTCTTGCTTTCTCAAGCTTGTCCTTCCAGAGTTTGGAAGGATTCCAAACTGCTCAGAAGACTGCACTCCATAGAGCCTTCTCACCTTCCCCGCACCGCTGATGAACCTCCTTGATTCTTTCAGCAGATCTGCAAATCCCACTGCAGCTCCAATCAAATGAAGCAGCACATACATTGCCTGCCTGAGCCTTCCACTCACAATCTGCAGGTAAGAGGTAAAATCATCAACTTGTTTTCCAAATGTGTGATGCTAGGTGATACTGGATAAAGAATGTTATTTTCTTTCCTACATTTATTTGAGGGAATATATGTTTGATGGAGTCCAGCTACATAAAATAAACATTTGGTCAATCTGAGTGGTTCAATTGATGAACCACATCCCAGATGGGCCACAGCACAAAAATCATACTGATAGGTATCATAACTATCAGAGAAAGAACTTTGACAGTTAAATTAACTGAAGTTTAGATATATATCAAAAGATTCAAAACCATGATTTAGAAGCTGAAACCATTCAACCAGCATGAATTTTAGCATATAGCACATCCTAGTGGTAGCCCAATAATAGAGAGGTCTGGTCGTTGAGTTGGCAGAAGATTCACTGTTTCTCTCACCACAATCAACAATTTATTCTATTCCCCCACTCTTCAGTTGTTTGGATTTAATAGAAACAATTTTGTGCTTTATCTAGAGTTCAGGCCAGTCAGACTGGAAGTGCTAGGAACCAGGCCCCTTGCCAAGTAGAGGCTGTAGGAGCTCGGATGACCACCTGGTTATTTGATATTTGATAACCTGAGCAGGTTAAACCAAACTGGACCGTTCACAAGGAAATAAATATAAACAAGGGGACTTGAATGTGGGAAAGCATGTCAGTTAAGGGAAAAAAAAAGACTCTCTTATACAAGAGGAAACCCTACTTTGGAAAGGGGAAGAAGAAGAAGCCTCCTTGTAGCTTCTCATAAGCTAGTAAAAGTGTTCTTTTGGTTTAAGGGCTATGTGCAATATATCATAAGCAAGAAACTGGATTTTCACTATTAAATATATACAATTGAATATAAATATCAGTTATTTGCTCATATATAACATTTTGGTTTAAAAATATACAAAAGTGTCCTTTTGGTTTTGATCAGTCTGATTGAAACTGACACAAGTTGTAAAAGCATATCATGATGATGATACATAAAAATTATAGATTCTTGTCCTTCATATCTTCTTATAACCTTCCAGGCCCTGTGCTAGTTTGTTTCCCGACTTCAAATTCATTAGATCTATAAAAAGAGCAGCCTGGTGCACAAGGCTCCCACCAATGCGGGGTCTAGGGAGGGACAAGATGTACGCAGCCTAAACCCTGCAGATACACAGAGGCTGTTTCCAAGATTTTAACCCTGGTCACCCATGTCGCAATAGAGCAACCCAACTGTTATCTATTTTTAGGTTTGTTCATGCCATGTAGTTTCAACAATTTTCTTCATTTTCCAAAAATAATAAAATATCATATGGTTACTGTTATTCAATTAAGTTAACTTCCATCATTAAATTAACCTATATCTGATTAAATGGATCCTTGATTCATGCATGAAAGATCAGCATCCATATTACCACCCATTCATATTCATAGTTTATTTCTTGAAATGGTCACCCACCATTTTCAAGTAACAACAGTATTTCAAGTAAACCAGTACATACCAGGTGGGGTGCCACAACATAATCTCCTATCATCAATGTGCTCGACATCTACGCCAATAAACCAAGCTCCTAGTGAAACATCTTCATTAGCATACTTGTGCAGCACATGCCTGCAATTTCCATGTCATACATAGTATACATTATTGGACTAGTTAGATGGGCTTGAAAATCTTCAGGTCCAAATATATCCAAAGCTTCCTGATAAGATCTATGTTTAAAATAGAAAAAGAAAAAAGAAGGGGGCCCTTACTGGTTTATTGAAATGTAAGTAGCCAAATCTTTTGAAATCGCATACAGCTGACCAGTAGCATGCCGAAAATACTTATTCCCCTGCTCCCCAAATTTCCAATATTCAGGTTCATGGTACCTTACTCCCCTGTTCAATGATAAAGTGCCAAATAAGACCAAATTGCAATTTCTCAAAAACCAGCTGAAAGAAGATACTGGATGTTTTTAGGATAGATTTGCTTACTTTTGAGCAAGGACAGGACCAGATTTCATGCATCCAATATAGACACGGGGCTTTGACCTGTGTCTAGCTAAAGTCATCCCCAGTGTTGCTACAGAAATTTAGAAGCTGATGAAGTCAGTTGCATATTGGATAAACAAACATTACAACGATGCAACTTTTTACATGACCAAATTCAAGTTCATTCTTAAATAAGTCAAAATCTCTGTAGATCAAAAGCAACTCAAGCTTTGGTCATTTTGCAAAGGAGGTCAAGATAATATCTATAAAAACTTACAAGATGAATTACTTTAATTTTGTTAAAAAGGGGGCACATTTTAGGAAGTAGGTCATTTTAGACTTGGCGGCCATGTTTCAGGTTTCAAAATATAGTTCAAATACATTTAAGTCCAGAGCAAATACAATACTCAATTAATGAGGGTGAACAACCAGTGGTTGTGCTTATCAATCTAAGATCATCCAATCACATTTTTCTTTTTGTATATTATTTAGAACAGGATAAAAAAGGATGTATGGAAAAGATAATCCATAACTTCCAATTTTTTATCTGAACCCAATCAAGCAATAGGAAAAATTTAGGGCATAGAGTTATTGGACACAACCATTCTCAGCAAGACAGCAATGTCAATGCACATGATTTCCGCTAAAACAAATAAAAAGCATTCATAAAATGTCATTTTATGATTCAACAGCAAATGGTGACATTTCTGAAGCAGCTGAAAATCAGTATCAATCACATACTGTTGATCTTCATTTTATTATAGAAAATCATAAAACATCACTTTTTATATACATACATCAAGGTAAAGAATAGAGAGAACAGTCAAAATTTCTTACCTATATTTACATGGACATCATCATCAACTTTGATGTAGAAATCCGCATCCCACAGAGCAACAGCAGTAGTAAAATATGTCTTTGTCTTAGCAGACAACTCAAGGTACCCTTCAACATGTTCCTGCAGATGTGATATTAACACAGAGATTTGATGACCATATGTTGCTATTTACAGATCAAAAAAGTAAAGAAAATTCTTCCAACGTGTGTGTATGTGCATGCGACATTAATAGGAAAAAAATCTAGAAGCTTCAATAATCAGGGTCTACACACAATGGAGGCAGACCATTATATGCATCTTTTTGGGTCCAGGTATGAGACAAGTTGTTCGAGACTCAAGCCCCCAAATAATTAAGTACTGAAAATTAACATTTTCTTATAGAAATACACCGATAACTAACATTTATTGATGCATGCATACAGTTAAAAACAAAAGGTAAGAAGTGAATTTAGTTGCTTCCCTTCTAAAAAGTCCCAGATTCATATGCTCTTGGATTGGACCTGATTATGATTAGATCCAATAAATGTGGACACAGACCCTACAAATCATTGCCAAGTATATAGGACATTAGGCCAATGGAGTACCCATTGAAACCCCTAATGCTCAGTTTGTTTGCAGTGCATATGAAATGCACTGGTGTAAATGCATGGGAGTGCAAATAGGCTGTGTAAACTCTGGTTTTTGCTTCATATTTGGCTTTGTCCTGCTTGTTCGTGAGAAGTAAAATAATGCGGTTTCCACTTTATATGAAAGGGAGTGAAGGTACGAGAGTGAAGGTATGAGGATGATGTGGTCCCCACTTTATATGAGAATCAATGTAAGAGGAAGGTGGTGCAAAATTTGCACTGTCGACAAGTGCAAATGAGACAAAAAGTACAAACTTTTTATCAAGTAGGAGTGCAATCATGGTAAGAAACAAACAGATTCAAAACTGAACCGGGTGCAAAATTTGTATACAGTTCAGATTTGCACTGCAAATAAATGAATCATAAAGATAACCAATGAATCATAAAGATAACCAAAAAGGGTGAGCAGCAATACCAGCCTCAGGAAGTCTCCGTGCTTTCTATCCTCTGCTTCGATAGCTTTATCCAAAATGCCACCAGATGTAGCACTAGCGACAAAATATCCAGCAAAAAAAAACATAATTTTTTATCAGCAAAACGAACAAACATAAATTTCTTGAATATCGAATGTTATTTTATGCTCATAACTATATAGTGATAAGATGAGGATTAACACCATCAATAGAAGAAATATTTTATTACTCAGAAAATAGAAGAAATATTATATGTCTATAAAAGTGCATGCTACAAAAGTTAAACAAATGCACAACTTGAAAAGGTAGTAAGAATGAAGGATATTTGGAAATATTCAGTCAAAATGCATATAGATATCTCAAGAGAACAAAGGATATGTTCTATAATGATCACATGATCACATGATCACATGAGATTTTGGTGCCAAGGTAAATATGTTCCATGATCACATGAGTACCCTTCAAAAAGATCCAGCCAACTCAACATTCCATATAGGAGAATTGTGGTCCTTCAAGACAAATTCTACTGAAACTTGTTGGACAGTTTTTGTATGCCCTTAGCTTCAATCAGTTTTTGATGTACTTTTGATATTTAATGTAAATAAATGAAGTACATGTTTGATTCATGTTGTGTGGTATACTTCTATCTAAGACCCTAAAACTGGACACTCAATGAGACTTGTGTTGGTTTTAAATGTTCACAGCCGTTGGATAAGTCTGGGGAGATTTATCCTGCCAAGGCTGACACTGGTGTGCTGCCAACTGTTGGGGTGGCTTGTCTTAGCCGCCAAGGTGAGACACAAGGCACATGTAGTATAGGATTAATTGAACCCTTGAACCAGACCAGATTTTCAGTATTGCCCTGGACCTTG